GGTCGACTACCCTTGTTTAATGAAAAACTTTTAGCCAGAGAAGCCGATCAAAGATGTGCAAGTGACTATGTCAAACTGCCTTGACACGAATTTGCATGAAAACCGTGAAGTAACGTTACGTACTTTACAGCAATATTGCCGTATTGCAAGACCGATGGCAGGATCCATTACACCGGATTGTACTGTAATGTTGCACAGGTTAAACGTCCAGCAACGCAAAACATGGAAATCTACCACTGTCGAAGTTAAAATGAACTGTTAGAGACTAGATTCGACCGAGCTGCAAACGTATCTGGATCGTGTTCTAGGTGTCTTTACGTCAAGTATCAGACGATCATTTAGAATTCTGAGAAGATTAAAATATCTGCTAAATTCACTATGACAGTAACTGAAACGAAGCTACCCCACTAAGTTTGAGAAGCAATATGATGGGCAGAGTCGAACATAATGGATTAAAAACAGAATCAGCGCTATGTACTCCAGAGCCAGTTAGTCATAATGAAAAGGCAAAATGTATGTTTCATGTGTTCAAGAACAGAGGGAAGGTTCAACAACAGAAACATCCGGAGCCACCTGTGTGGGTGATTTGATAGATTCAAGTATTGCAATAGCCTCTACCGCATAAATGTATGTAGTGAGGCGGATAATGCGGATGATCAAACAGCGCCTATGTTTACCACCATACTCAAAACAGACAAAAAGAGTGGTAGCCATGTTTCAAAGCCAATTCTGAATGTCAGTGACACCGATCGATCTTAATCATAAGAGAATGTCACCACTCTAATATCTCGCGAAGAGAAGTATGCGCCAAGGTCTAAAGCTGCGAAAGACCAAATCACGTTCATGTTGGAGATTATACTTCGAGAGACTTAAAACTGAAAATCTTGCTTATTTGCCACTAGTAAATACCTCGAGCAACGAATGGGTATTCCAAAGTGCAATCATCCAGTATCTGGAGTCAAATCCAAACAAGTTTATGGGAAGAAATAATTTCCAGGAATGGTTCGTCCCGAAATTTTTTCAAGAAGTGAAGCGCCGTTGCGACGCTAATAACTTAAAACTCAAAGTTTTATGGATGTCACAATATCCCTGATCACCAAGAAAAATTGAATACCCTACCGAGCGCATTATTTGCGGAAGTAGAGTTCATTCCGCAAAACATTGTTTTCTTGTTCAATCGAGACCTGTACCTCACAGCAAATTTCCCGCTCTGCTACCTGCGATGCATTTTTAAAGTACTGACTGGAGTCCTCATCATCAACATTTGTCGATCCATTGCTGGATGAAGGTCCTTCTCCACTGATTCGCCACACATCTTTGTTTTCCACAAATTTCATCCGTCTGGATCGAGCGAACTTCTTCAGTTCATCATACCATCGGTTTGAAGTCATTGCTACGAACCGTTAACTTTCACGTACAACGCAGTTCAATGTTTCTCTGGTCCAGCGATGGTCGATCTTTCTTGCAACGTTGCCTGCCCATTCTTCTTCACTCGGGGAACGACAACGTTGTTTGTGCTCTTACCCATTCTTTCGTCTCCCTACTTTTTTTCATGTTAATTTTAGCGTACACCTTCCATGATGTGCTGCGTAGCCTTGAGCTAATGAATAGCTTTCAGATTTAGGGATGACGTTTCGCAATCATAGGATAGCAAAGGAGCACAGACTGATCGAACGCTTTCCGCTTTAAGTACAAAGGAAGTTTCCCAGATAAAAAAACAGTTTCAGTTTTCTAATAGTGCTCCATGCAGTTTTTTTTTTATTCTGTTAATTTCACACAATCGAATCTCCGCGCAGAGAGTAGCAGCTCCAGACAGACGTTTTCGGGTACCTAATGGAAAAAATCAATAGTCAGTTAGAAACGCCCGTAAAAGCTTCAACAGGAATTTCAGCGCAGCTAAGAAAACGACATGTCTTGCAATATTATGAAAAGTGTAGATGAAGGTATGGCCGGACGCTTGTCGTAATTCCAACGGTTCGTAAGCAACTGAAAGTGCGACTGCCAGTGACATAATCTATCTTGCCAGTCGACTCGACTGGGGGAATGGGGGTTCACTAGATGACGCTGATGTTGCGCAGGATGTAAAGCCGCATGACACAGTATCAGCTGGAGAAGATAACGGCTACAGTAACGTATTACTTGAAAATAAACATGAAGTTTCGGTTTCATGAATGCGTCGCCATTAAGTATTATGTAAAACTAACTCTACATAACACTACTGTGTGGTTATCGCTCTCTTTTCGAGGAACGTGTCCAGTGCGCTAAACGGGGTATGACTGTATTTCAGTCGGAGATGCAACAACTGGTAGAGAAAGTCAGCATCACGTACAACTTTCGTTGATTTAAAAGCGTCGGGAAAAACTCAGCAGAAGTAGCCATGCACAGTCTCGAAAACGCCCCTGCTGTCATCCGTAATTCTGTCATCCGTGGCGCGAAAGGTTCACTCGATCCTTTTGCTGTAATAATACAACAATGCTCGACTTGACTTCGAAGAGTTGATTTTTCGAAATACTTCAACGACGAAAAAGTACATTCTCGCTGTCTTAAGCATATCTGCGTTTCGTACGCTTTGCCAACTTGTGAACTGGCCTCCTTTCCAATGACGTCTTGTGATCGGCTCTAGTCAGAGAAGTTCCCGTGACAAGTTTTGTTTCCCGCGCCGTTTTACCGAACCACGAAGGCGCTCGCTCTTACCTCTTAGGAGAGTTTCTTCACTCTGACGGCTATGAGTAAGCGATCGTTCGATATTTTCATCGATGTTATCATCGAGCCTGGGGGATACTGCACCGGTAGAGTTGCTAGAAACAGTTCAGATGATTTTCCTGCAACTTCAGGACTGCAGCTGCTTCGAGGTCAAGTCAAAGGACGGAGAAGGCTGCTCACTTAAAGATGAAACCTTCGTCTTCACGATTATTGACCGATCTTTTCATGCTCTCTGCGGTTTTCCAAAGTTAGCTGCGCGAATCCCATTTGCCAGTTAATGTCTGAGTGGCAGCCTCTTCCAGGCGCTAGCGATGACTGAACCGAAATATCTGAAGCAGTTTGATCTCAACCACATCGGTCAATGCTGATGTCCATATCACTTCTGTTTCCCCACCTGCTCCGTCTTGCTACCTACGCTGTCAGCTAGGGCTTTTACGCCGAAGGCACCGAGCTCACCGGAACAATGTCGCATAAGTCCAATTTGGTTAGGTTCATCGCTGAGCAGTTGGTATTTCGTGTCAACATGTCATGTTCAAGCTTTCTGGCTCGTTTGAAAGGTCACTTCTGCGCACGACGTAGTCAACCACGACGTTCAACAGCAATTGCCAATAGCACGTCGCCCTGTCGGACATCGGATGAGATGCTGGTTGAACCACTGCACTGGGTTCAACGTCAGGCCATCGTCGGTCTTGACGACAGGTCGTCATCGCAAACGCGTAATGAAAATCGTTGAAAGTTTTCTTTAACTCTTGCCTATTTTGTCAGACGAATAAATAAAAAAAGTAAAATGCTAAAACGTGCATGTTTCATATGCGAATCGTCGAACAAGAATGCGTTGTGTTGTACAGCACGTCAATGACGATTTGTTGCAACTGGACAAGCAGCATCACAAGCCGGAATGACGCTGCCGACTATGATCACGAGTTTGTTTGTTTGTTTGTTTGACTATAGCCTGGCAGAACCAGTTCTGTCGCGTCCGCAGTTAACAGCTTGTTTGTCGTCAGAGGCGTCAAACGGGGGAGCGACAGCGGTGGTACCACAATTTTCTGGACAGCAGTCTGCAGACAGTGTGGGGCGACGGGCCGACGACCGTTTCGCGCACAGATGAGGATGATTTTCGTTCGGTTTACATGTGTCCAAGGATGCCGTTCTGTCTGTCATGAACACGCAACAATCGTGTTGGCTGGCCGACTGGCACCATGTCACTTTCGACAGTGCGGTGGTGTATAATGCCACGGTCGAACACGTGATGACGGCATATTACTAAGAAAACTGTCAAACGAGCACAGATCTGTTCGAAACTTCTTCTATGATTAGGCTGCAGAAGCGCAATTCAGGATGACACGTGTCGAAGCTACGCTAAGGAATATAACCGTGTAGCAACGAATAATTCCTAGACGTAAGTCTGAGGTATCTGCCGGATCAGACAACACAAGGTTAACTTTGCCGTTCAAGCATCGTTAGCGCTAGATGCGGATGACGCGTGCGTGGACAACAGCACCGTTGCTGCGGCGTCTGCAATGAACATCTTACGAACATCTTTCGAACGCCGGTTTTTTACCATAGCGACTGATTTCCAATTCTTAGGAAGGCCAGCAAACTAACCGCGATCAAGTTAAGGCTTTGACGGCGTTTGCTCGAGCGACAAGTCATAACGTGTGACGTGTGACTTTTTTTTCTCTGAATCGTTGTACTGCGCAGGAAACGCATTCTGCCAGCCACACAACACAAGTGTCGAAACTCAGCACAACTTCGATCCGTCCGTACATTCGAAAGCTGCTGATCGCAATGCGATGTTAAACTCGTTACTCACTGCGTCGCAAGGCGGAGGCGAACCGAGAAATCTAGAACTGGGTGCAGACAGATGAAGAGACAATGGCGGTCGACTGCGAGCAGCCGACGTCAATCCTCCGTTAGCAGGATGGTCGGTCGGTCGGTTGCTAAACACAGCGACATGGACGGACAGCGACGAGTGCACGCTCGCAGTGTTATATCGACCGGAAAACAGTCGTACCACCAATCGTCATCGTAATTCATTCACACAACACATCATACCGCACGACTTTAGAACCAAACACACGGTCACCTACCCAAGCACCGAAAAAACCAAAACCGACAGATGTGCATGGCGATCTTCGGCGTGACGTCAGTCAAAAACTTTCTTCAGCTGATCCAGATAACGCGCGCAACGTTTACAGAACATCTTGGCATTCTTCATGTACGAAGATGTGTTCGATGCGTCGTCGATAAGGTCAGCTACCTTAAAACGTGCGAATGCTGCAAGCGATAAGTGACACTCATCGACTCATAGCGTTCGTTCGATTATCTGCAACCAAACACTCTGCAGCACCGAGGCGACGACAGTATGTCGAAGCAGCCGCCGACCGGTCGTTGGTCGCTCGCTGGTCGCGGAAACTAACCGACCAATGCTGAACGCCGCTGTACCACACGTTCGACTTCACCATTCCTTCGACGTCGGCTTCAACAGAGTACAATCCTAGAGACGTCATTATGATTTTTCGTCACCTTTCTCGGGAAGCTTTTCTGATGCAGCAGCAGATATTAACGAGGTTTTTCCTTACGAACACGTGCCATAATTTATTGTGCAAACTCAGCCAGCTAGTCAACACTGGCCATCACTCGAAAGCTGTACGAATCTGACAAGATGGGTGTCCGCGACGACGCGACAAAACGACCACAACGATC